TTGAAGATAAGAATACAAATTGATAATCACACTACTATGCCAATTAATAGTTAATCAATTAGTTTATTTAATAAATATGGTGGTAGCCAGTAATGTAAATTAGATATGCACAATAGACACAGTACACATATTTTGTTGAAAATGATTAGTGCTTTGCATGTATTATAGTTTTACTTTAAATATACATGATTTTAAACTTTGTATATATATTATTTACATGCTTGTGACAATAAAAATTTTTGAATTTATAACACTGAGTAATAAAGTGTTTAATTATTAATCATAACTGGAAATATTTTCTCTCAATAGCAAGAAGCCTTTATTATATATCTTATTTGTGATATATTATTTATATTGTCTATACTAATTAAAATACTTATACTGATTATACCAATTATATTCATGATTCCCTTATTACCATAAAAAAATTATACACAAGAAATTTTCTCCACATGTAATAATCATCTAATTTGTGTAATAGTAATATTCAGAGAAGTAAAAACTTTCTACCTTTAAATCAAAATATCTTTACAACAATATGACTAATTTTAATAATTTTTTTATTTGAATTCTATGAATTTATAGAATTAAAATAAAAAAAATTATCAAATTTAATCAGGTGGACATGAAGATAACTTTGCTCAATATTAAAGAAAATCAAAATACCTAACGAAATTGAAGCTATGCCAACTTTTTTTAAAAATTGAGCAAAAAAATCTCTATATTCACTAAACCAAACTTGCTAATTTTTTTTTGAGTTCAAAGATTTCATAGAAATCAAAAAAAAAATTATCAAGTTTGGTCTGGTGGTTGTAGAGATATCTTTGTTTAAAGTTAAAGAAAAATCAAATCATCTAACAAAATTGATTAAATTTAATAAATTTTTTTTTATTTGAATTTTGTGAATTCATAGAATTCAAACAAAAAAAAATTTCAGGTTTGGTCTAAAAAAGTTGGTGCAGCTTCAATTTTGTTCTGTGTTTTAATTTTTTTTTAACTTTAAACAAAGAAATCTCTACAACTACAAAACCAAACTTGATAATTTTTTTTATTTAAAATTTTATAAAATTTTTGAATTCAAATAAAAAAAATTATCAGGTTTGGTCAGGTGGCTGTAGATTTCTTCACTTAAATTTTTAAAAAACTTTAATGTAGCTTTAATTTTGTTAGATAATTTAATTTTTTTTACTTTAAGCAAAGATATCTTCACAACCACTAGACCAAACTTGCTAATTTTTTTATTTGAAATCAAAGATTTTATAGAATTCAAATAAAAAAAATTACAATTTTGGTCTGGTGGGTGTGGAAATATCTTTATTCAAAGTTAAAGAAAAATCAAAACACAGAAGCTGTATCAACTTTTTTTAAAAATTTGAACAAAGTAATCAGCACAGCCACCAAACCAAAGTTGCCAATTTTTTTTTATTTAAATTCAAAGATTTCATAAAATTCAAATAAAAAAAATTATCAAGTTTGGTCTAGTAGTTGTGAAAATATCTTTGCTCAACATTAAAAAAATATCAAAATGCCAAACAAAATTAAAGCTGTGTTAACTTTTTTTAAAAATTTAAGTGAAGTAATTTTCATAGCTACCAAACCAAACTTGCTAAATTTTTTTTTATTTGAATTCAAAGATTTCATAGAATTCAAATAAAAAAGAGTATCAAGTTTGGTCAAGTGGTTGTAAAGATATTTTGCTCAAAGTTAAAAAAAAATCAAGACTAACAAAATTGAAGCTGTTTCAACTTTTTTTAAAAGTTTAAGCAAAGTAATCTCAATAGCCACTAGACCAAATGTGATAATTTTTTTATTTGAATTCTATGGATTTAAAGAATTTAAATAATAAAATTTATTGAATTTGGCTAGGTGGTTGTAGAGATTTCTTCACTTAAATTTTTAAAAAAAGTTGGTATAGCTTCAATTTTGTTAGGTGTTTTGATTTTTCTTTAATTTCAAGTGAAGTTATTCCATAGCTACCTGATCAAATATAATAATTCTTTTTTTTTTTAATTTTATAAATCCATAAAGTTCAAATAAAAAAAATTATTGAATTGGTCAGATTGTTATAGAGATATTTTGATTTAAAGAAGAAAGTTTTTACTTTTCTCTGAATATTACTGATATATAAATTAGATAATCATTTTATATAGGAAAATTTCTTATAGATGAGGTGTATTATTAAACACCCAATATACTATATATATATACAGCAAATACAGTATATAGTATATAGCTAAAAATCTCTTATAGTAATTGATTATCATAATATTATTTGGAAGCTGCACCTGCCAAAGGCCACTATATGTTTTCAGGCTCACAGTATAAATACAAATCAATTTTTTTTAAGATTAATAAACCAATTTTAATATTTTAATTTTAAATAAGGCTGTATAACTTACTGTAAGTTATTTTTAAAATATAAGTTATATTTTAAGTTATATAAATTACTATATAAGATAAGTTATATATAATAATAATAATAATTTTATCCTTTAATAACCTTAATACTAGCTAAATTTATTCTGGTTGGTATTAATACAAAGCTGGCCTACTTTACTATAATATATTTTATAATTTATATAGAGTTATATAACTTATAATATAAGTTATATTATTAGATAATTTTAGTTTTCTAAATTGAACTGGCTTAATTAGGCTTACTCAATTTTCTATTGGCTCATTAAGGTTTATTTAGTTTTGGATTTTACCTATGGTGTTTTTATACTATAGGTCCCATTTCTCAAAAATACATTAAGTAAACAAGGTAGAGTTTTAAGTAAAATATTTAAAACTTCTATAAACCTTACAAGAACTAAAATTGGGCCCTATTAGGCTCTTATAATAGCTCTATAATATATTATATAAAAAAATAATAATTTTAATTTTCTAACTCTAATTCTAAATTTCATTAAAAGAAATTATACATAGATATTAAAATACCATAGATGTGTTTTATAATAATTCTTTAGTTTTCATACTATATAATATATAAAAATATTATTTATTTGTATAGTTTATATGATATTCTTGAACATATTATATATTATATGACTTATAAATCAAATACAGTATAGGTGTATAGTAATGCACATAGGTATTATTTCGAAATTTTGATTTTTTTAAAAATAGCATATTTGACTCAAAATAATGCCTATGCATGTCTCAAAATAATGTGCCACTCCATATGTATCAGATTATCATTTAAGAAAGTAGTTGAGATTTTTTCAAAATTAGTATAATAATTTGAATTATCATGCATGCGCATTTCAAAATAATGCATGGGGCTCAAAATAATATGCTTCTATACAGTAAGTCTTAAATAAGACAATAGGGTATAAAATAAGCCTAATTGAGCCAGCTCAATAGGTAAGTTATTACAACTCTAATTTTAAACATTTATAGTATGTATTACATTATATTATACTAGCTAAAAATTTTATTATTAAACTATATTTTTTTTCTTTGAATAGTAATCTCATTAGCCAGCTCTGATATTTGTTTTATTAAAGAGTATTGTTTCTGTTACAATGAGAGTATATTAAGCCACACATGCACTTTTGATACCTAATTTAAGTAGTCTGCATCTAAGTCATTTTACTTAAAGTTCTACACTATTAGCTGTACCTGCACCCCAAACTATGGAGTTACCTAATTAACCCTCTACTTTCACATCTGGAACCTCTAATATCCAAACCTGTGTTAGACCTTAGAACTAGTTTATCCCTGAGATAATATCTGGCTAAGATAGTACATGTCCCACACATGTAGCAACTACTTAAACTTATTGGTAATTATGCCATAGCTTCATCTATGTACTTGGAAGTTACCCCTACAATTACCTGCCCTTGTATAGTTTACAACAACCCCCAGTATCAACATTCAACTTCCTTCTTCCCCGGATTCTTTATCAGTCCATCCCTTACTTCCACAGAAGAGCTGGCCTGCCTAGGCATTAAGTGCCTCACGGTCTCACTCCCCTTGGTACACACTTCCAGAGCAGATGTCCTTTTCCTCTGGTGTGTCTTAGACTAGCGGCCTAGCTGGTGTACCCCCACTTAAGGATCTGATCGTTCAGTTCTCCGATCTTGGTCCCGGTTCCAAATTTAGTCTTCCTGCCGAAACATTTTTTATTATAATGATCATCACAAAGTTTATCATGTGCCCACTATTTTCGTGTCTTTTTTGTTTACATTTGGTTTTTACATGAAATCCCGTAATTCTATTGGTTTCGATGTACAATTTTGAGATTGGAAGTGATCTTCAACCCAGAAATTGCTTCGGTTTCGTCGTCAATTGGAAGTCACTTGACGAAATGGTTTCGCCACTCATCAGGCTTTATTATTCCAGGCATATTCCATAAGTAATACGGAATTATACTAAATATATATCCCGAATAATTCATTTAAAATTCCGTAAACCATTTTTCATAGGTTGTATAACCATCTAAGTTGGAAGAGGACAGCCCATGAATGCCAGTATAGTTCAGGATGGAAACGAATTATTAGGATGATTTATAAGAATATTTCTTATTATGAGAAAGTTTAAAAGGGCATCCAACTTCTAATCTTTATTAAAGGTCTTTAGCCTTTCTTTGAATACATGATTTCAGGTAAGCATTTACAAACTCATATTTATACTAGCAGCTAACAGATCCACGGATAACCCCTGACTATATCGTAACACCTGATAAAAATAGCAATAGTGATAGTGTTAATAATCAACATTAAAAATGGTAAGTGGATGTTTATAAATGATTTATAATTATAAATAAATACATATCATTCATTCGCCAGCATCAATAGCCATGCATTCCGTTCATAGCATAGGCAATTTAATTTATAAGCTATCGGCTAAATTATCCAATTTGTATATCTAATAATTCAGTTCAAACTCTAGTTATAACTAGAGAAAACCTTATAAATACGCTTCTTTACGCTCAATTGATTTCTCAAAAAAAAAAAAAATAATAAAAAATTAAAAATAAGAAGAAAAAGAAAAACATGAATCCCTCTGAAGGAAAGCATTTTACTTTTGACAAAATTCCTGATCTGACCGGAAATGTAAGATCATTATTATCGTCTGATTAGTTGAATATAAAATATCGACTTATTGAATTTTCTTGACTATATATTATCTCTAGGTTGCAATCGTTACAGGAGGAAATACCGGAATAGGTTATTTTACCTGTAGAGAATTGGCCAGAAAAAATGCTCATGTGTTCATGTTAGGTCGTAATCTCGAAGGATGTCAAGCTGCCATTGAAAAAATCAAATCTGAAACTGGTAATCAAGATGTTGAATTTTTACATTTGAACTTAAAAAGTTTAAAATCTGTTAAGGAGTGTGCTGAAAATTTTTTGGCAAGAGATCTACCATTGCACATTTTGTAAGTTATATTATTATGATTATTAAATAATAATTTAAATGCACAAATTTAGCCTAATTGCTGATTGTTTGATCATTTTTATCAGAATTAACAATGCTGGAATTACAACAACGTAAGTAATAATTTTTAAAATTCTAATGTCTTTCCATTTGTAACTATAAGATCATTTTGAATAAATAAGTTAATAAATATAATAAATAGTACATTTTCACTTACTGAGGATGGGATTCAAGAGGAATTTGGAGTCAATCATGTTGGACACTTTGTAAGTAAAACAAAGGAACAGTCCAATAAATTATTAAATCGCAATCAAATAAAAAAATACATAACTATTATTATTATTTTTTTTGTATTATTAGCTTCTTACTAAATTGTTATTACAAAAAATTAAAACTTCACAACCAGCACGTATAGTTAATGTTAGCAGTCTTGCTCATAAAAATGCTGAGAGTGGAATTAAATTCGAGAAATTAAATGATCCAAATGCACATGACTCGAAGCAACGTTATAGACAATCGAAACTTGCGAATGTTTTATTTACTAACGAATTAAATAAACGATATCTTGAAGAACAAGTATATGCTAACTCTCTTCATCCAGGTATCAGTGTAATAAAAGAATCTTTGCCAAAATTTAGCTAAAACAAATTAATTAACCAATTTGTAATATTTATTATTTACTATTTACTATATTAGGTCTTGTAGATACCAACATCTTAAAAAGAAACGATTTATCTTTATCGGAAACTTTACTATCTTCTTCAATTTCACCTGAAGACGGAGCTATTACTACCTTATATTGTGCTACCAGTAAAGAAATAGAAGAGAAAAATTATCGCGGAAAGTATTTTGTTCCATTCGGTGTAGTAGGTGAAAAATCTTCATACGCTGAAGATGAAGATTTGGCCAAGAGGCTTTGGGAATTTACTGAGAATTTGATAAACGAGAAATTATCGCAAAATTAATTCGTTTGCTATTAATTTAGTACTTAATTCGAATATCAATATTCGAGTATATTTGGTAGAATAGGCAACTTTTTCCGTTATATTGTAAATGCAATAGTTAAATGAATTTCATGCAATATATCACTAAATAGTGGTTATTTAATAAATTAATATTTTAAAGTACGAGACAAAAATATCCAACATATATACAGTATGTTGCGAAAATAACCAGAAAATTTTTATATAATTTAGATTTACATGATCTAAATTTTTTGTTTTAGATTTTTAATTATTAATTCTTATATAAAATTTAAAGACAAAAGGTATATAATAA